CTCTGGTCTGCTTTATAGTTTGTTGACTGGGACTTATCAGACAAGTGGCTGGTCTTACTTGCTCTTTGGTGATCTTGTTTGGTGATCTTGCTCTTTTGGTTCCTTGCTCTGTTTCAGTTTTTTCTCACTGTAAAATGCTCCTCTATGAAGCAATTTGAAGTCTTGTTAAAACTCCTATGCAAAAGCTAGGTGATACTGTTGCGGCATGATTTTTCAGGAATTACCAAGTACACATCCTTGGAAATCAGGAACGTGAGACAGTTGAAGTAAAGCATACTGGATCACTGGTCATTTTTGCAATTTTTTATCTTTTTACCTGTATTAAAAATAAGTATTTATTTACCTATTTTGTGGAAATTCTGTGGGTTACTTTGTCAGTTTTTATGAAACTTTGAAGGCACAAATCACCATATTAGTTTATGATTACTCACTTAAAGGAGGATTTATTTTTGGATTTGGAGCCTTTTTTAATTTACAGAAATTAGTGCTTTCATGTAGATCCTGACTTTCTTTGTTACTGTAACTCTAAGGATAAATGTACATTGAAAGATTTTATTCTCTTTCCGGCTTCTAAAAGAATTTTGCCCTCAAATTGTAAAGTTCAGACTGTTTGTTAATCAGAACTCTTTTTCCTGTGTCATCTGTTTAGTCACACAAAGTAAGTGACTTTTCAAAATTTCTGTTTTTGTGATTGTTTTTTTTTTAAAGAAAAATACTTTAACTTTTACAGTGTGGATACTATTCATGATCATCCAATGGATTATTTTTGTTATTGTTTGTAATAGAAAATTAAATAAGGAAGAGGCTCTCCAGATATGTGCCTGTATTAAAAATTTGTTTTCACAGAATCACAAAGAATATTTGAGGTTGGAAAGGACCTCTGGAGATCATCTTGACCAGCTCTCCATTCAAAACAGTGTCAACTACAGCAGGTTGCTCCAGACTTCTTCCAGTTGAGTTTGGTTCCAGCTCCAAGGATATTCAATTCCACAATGTGTCTAAGCAACCTATTCCAGTCTTTGACCATCTCTACTGTAAAAAGAAATGTGTTTTCTCACATTTAAGTTGGACTTCTTGTAATCCAGTTTGTGTCCATCACCTGTTGTCTTTTCACTGGATAATACTGAGAAGAGTCTCACTCTCTCTTTTTTACCCTCTCCCACAAGGAATTTAATTTTATTTGAATTATTTGGTTATTTAAAAAAACACATTTTCCAAAGATGCTGATGAAGAAATTAAGAGGAATTTTACTGTCTTAAATTGTCTTAATTCCTTCAGCAGGCTTTCCAAATTGTCACAGTTTGAGTTCTTCTTCTGTGTGAGAGTTACTCTCTTGTTTCCATTTTGGCTAGTGGAAATGTGTGTGTCAATCATTACTCTGTAATAGAAATACTAGATCAAACGAATATTTTCTTCTTATCTTGAGAAATGTGATTTAACTGTTTTGTTCAAATCCTGGCTTTGCTCTTATGATTCCTGCCTTCTGCTCTCGTCCTCTCCACCTAATATGCACAGTTAACTATTTACAGATCATATACCTTTTGTCATCTTTCTTTATCAATATGGTTCATAAAAAATTTCTACTGGAATAATTTTCTCAGGGGAAAAAACCTGATTTGAGAAAATGGAAACATCTATTGGAAAGTTTTGGTTCCATTGAAACTAACAGGAGCTATACTAGCTGTTTTGTTGGCTTGCACCTGAACAGTTGCCAAGAAACCAGCTGGTGTGATCTGTAGGTTGGAATGTTATGAATGAATGAGCTGCCTACCTGCTCAGTTTACAGCAAAAAATTTCTTATTTTTGCTGGAATTCCCTACTGAGCAGGAGCTCTGAATTACAAGTTCAGTATACAGTGTAGTTTTATATACTTCCATTTTCATATGGTAATATTTATATGACATTTTAATTGAAAAAACACAAGATTTTTAAAGGTTTATGTAACTTCTTAAATAATTTTATTAATGTGAAGTAATATATCTAAAATGACCAAAGTTAATTTATTGAGTAAATACTCACCTTCACTACCTGATACTGTGATTAAAAGTGTTGCTTTTGACACGTGCTGTCAAAACTTTAAAATATGAGTGTGTTGGAGAGCTTGTATCTTCTTGGTGCTTATCTGCCTGTTGTTTTGTTACCTGTTCCTTGGAATCTGCCTCTTGGTCTTGTCCCTCCTCCAGGCTGAGGAGTACAACTTTTAACACCTTCCATCTGGGCCAGATTCTTGACACTTTTTCCTCACTAATTTCACAAGGACTCTCAGTTTTATACTTTTTTGTGTGTTGTTTTTAATCTCATTCCTGTTGTGGTATGCTATCTTACTATAAACAAATATCTAGTATGCTTTATTAATTTAAAGGTCAGCAGTTTTTGTGTACTAGCACTCTTGAAGCTCTATATCGTGTGTATTGTGTCTGTCAGAAAGCCTCACCTTTAGCATATACCTTGATTTATACTTAGTTTATAAGTAAGTTATAAAGGTAGTGTAAGTTTATAAGGGAATTCCTTCTTTTCTTTCACAATCTTTAGGCTGCTTAGGACCATTTGCACTTGTACGCTTCCTACAATCTCTTCCTGATTAGGCTTTCCAGATAAATGTCCACCTTTACGTGCCTAGGATGTTGTTTTTTGTTCTGTATAACTATGCATGTAACTTTTTAAAAAAAAATTTCATTTTTTATTCTGTATTTCTTCTACTGGCTTTGGTGAGCCTTTCTTTCTCCATGTTCAGCTGATCATCACTAACTTTTAAAGTGTTTTTTAGCAGCACTAGGAGCTTCTTAATCTCAGAAATAGCCCTGAGCGAAGCTTAGTTAAATCTGTTTTTGTGGTTGATAAAGCAGTTGTCATGACCTTCTTGTCTTTTGCTCTGTGAATAGCCTTGTGTACAGGATCTGCTGTGTCATTTATAAAGATTGCTCCTCACAGAAGTGTTCTTTTATCTGAACTTTGAATCATTTAAGCAGAACTGTGAGGAGGACTTTCTTACTGTCAGCTGTCTGAGTAATTGTTTCGAAGTTCATGCAGCTCTTTAGGTCACCTTTTTTTGTGTAGTGTCTTTCCTCAGTGTCAGAAATCCTTTTTTCAAATACTGTTATACAGCACCTGCAACTCCCTAATTAGCTCCCTCTTTCTGCTGTATTCTGTTATCTGCATTTATAAAGAAAGAAATAAATAAGTAATTATTTATTATAATATAATATTATAATATTACTATGTTAGCGATGCTGATTTGCCTTTTGAGATTGATGTGGCAGTGTAACGAATGAGCCATATTCAATCCTTTTAAGAATATTTGTTCAAGCCATTCCTTTGGATCAGCGCACAGCCTCCTTACAGTTTTTGTGGGTCTTCACCAAGCTCTTTGAAATGTTGTTTTATCTCATAGGAAAAGAATAGGTTCATATATATATACCTCTAATCCTACTACAAATTCCTATTGAAGGATGTGAACATCTTTTGTTCAAACACCACCAGTCCAAACTAATTGGTAACACAGTGAATCACTGCATAGGAGCAACTTTAAATTCCAAATCAAGAAATGTTTCCCTGCCTCAAATAAAAATATAGTTGAAAATCTTGCATAAATTTCAAGTGTACTCTTGAAGACAGGTCAGACAGTTTGGTCAGTCTGACTAATCTCTCTGAGTAATGAGGAAGATTTTCATGTGGTCTTGGACTCTGTTGTTTTGCTGGATTAAATAGACTGTCATTCTACTGATCATCTATATTTTACATGCCTGCCAGGTTGAGTTCATCTTTCTTGATGTGTATGATGATAATAGCATGCAGTTTACATTTCGATTTAGATCCCATCAGCTCCTGGTACAATAAGTCTGAAATTTCTGCATGGTTGATCCAAACTTCTTATATTAGGTAGTTTCTTTATCTTCTAGTCCCTTTTTCTGAGGCTCAGTATTCCATGCCAAGCAAAACTTTGCCAAATGTGCTAAGCCTGCAGGTTCCTTTTTTTTTTTTTTTTTAACCAGGTAAGATTGAATTTAGGGTAAACCCTGGAGTATTACATTGCAGTATGTAGAAGACAACTGCCAACTGTACAAACACCCTGCAGATGGGATGCAGAGTGTATGTGGTTCTGGTATGTCCTAGCAAAGACTAAGTATCATTCTCAGAACCAGAGGCAGTTTTTTTTACCCAGGATAAACTGTCCTTGAGCCAGTCTGTGAAGCCAACAAGCTGGAATTTGTTCTTTGACTTCGTATGCCTTGGTTTGCTACTCTAGATGAAGTTTGAGATTTAGAAGGATTTCCTTTCAGTCAATATTTAAGTAAATCATTAATCACTTATCAAAACAGATGGCATTGCTGTTTGATTTATGTGGTTCATGAAGACTGGAAAATCTGTTTTGCATCCCTTTAAAAGCACTCAAAATACCCCCCTATGGGATTTGGTTTTAGCATATGTGCCCAAGAGGATTGTCCCTTTTCTTTGGACACACATTGTCCCTTTTCTTTGGACTCTGATTACTGTGAAGTTTCTCAGGACCTAAGTTACTTTGCTATTAAGAGAGAATGTGGTCTCTTGTACACATGCTGAATGAAATCCCTGTAGACTGCGTGTGTGGAAAATCACATTTTAGTTCTGTGAACTGTTCCTTAAGAAGACAATATAATATAATTTCTGTTTATTTTTTTTTTTTCTAATAGAATGCTGCAGTATGAATTAGAAGAGCCATGTAATTAAAGTTTTTCTGCTTGAAGTAATCTGGTTGAGATTCATTTTGGTGTCATTTTCATGGCTGGGTTTATTTTTCAGAGAAATAGTCTCCTTATCATCATTGTTGTTTTAGTTTAAATATCATTGTCTGGGATTAGTGTCTGATATTGAGCTGGTTAATGTAGTATTAGTTAAATGTGAAGATTTAAATCAGATTGTTCAGTTATGAAATATTACGAAGCACAGAAGTATGCAGTTCAGATGTTATCTTTCTGTAATCCATTATTTGCTGTATCTTCTCTCCCTTCTAATTTTTACAGGAAGACATCTACATGTATGGAGGCAAAATTGAAACAAATAACGGCAATGTTACTGATGAGCTGTGGATTTTCAACATACACAGTCAAACATGGAGTACCAGAACTCCTGCAGTGCTTGTACATGGCCAACAATATGCTGTGGAAGGTCATTCAGCACACATAGTAGAGCTGGACAGCAGAGATGTGGTTATGATTATAATTTTTGGATATTCTGCCATATATGGTTACACAAGCATTGTGCAAGAATACTACATCAGTAAGTCACTTTCAAATAATTTCTTTTATGTACTGATTAAAAAATAAAAAATCCTGATTTTTTTTTAAAGTGAAGAACATGCCAGTTTTCAGAAAGAGAAATATGTATTTTGCAAAACAAATAAAACCTCATCTTTTTTCCTTCAAATTATGTAGATCAGATTTTTTGTTAAGCAGTAACATTTCATATATGTTTGGAGTATAATGGTTTTGACTATGTCTTATTGCGTACATGGCCATGGTACTCTACAGGGGGGACAAATGTTGAAACCAGAAATTCCACCCAGTGGTTTTTATTGTGTTGAAACTTACTTTTTTACCACAGATTTACTGTTTTTTACCACAGAGTAGATAGAGTGAAAAAGAATAAGTAGAGCAAAAAAAGAGCAAGACAGAATACAATGAACAGTGCCTACTACAATAATTTAGTTATTTTGAAGGTTATTTAATGTTGCTGTAATAATTTCATTCTGATTTTCAAAATGTAAAGTGTATACATGTTGCTACCAGAGGAAATAAGAGAAAATTAACATTGATTTTTGTAAATAACTGCCATGTCTGTCTGGGATTTCCCTTGCGATCTGGCAAGCTTTTCTTGGGGGTGATTTTAAATGCTAGAATTAAATAAACCAAGATAGTTTTTTTATCTTTTTATGAAAGATCATTGTTGCATGCAGAGCTTTGCAGAACATGGTCTATATGCTGTAACTGAACCATTTCTGTTGTGGATAATTCTCATGTTTCATTTTACCGCATTGCACTTCCCTCCTTCCCCTCCTCCTAAGTTAAATAAATTTTGTGGTATACTTTCCTGATTCTATGTCAGCTGTAGCATTTATCTACAGTTTTGCAGCTGTAGGATCGTTTTTAACCATAAAATTCCAGATGGCGGTTTGAACTAAGAATGACTAGTTTTTTTGGGACTTCAGCAGCTCAGAATCCAAACTTAAAAGACACAGGAAGTATTGCTGTGAACCCACCTGAATAGGAAAAAAAAATTGTTATAAAAAAGGGCTTCTGACGTTATGGAAAGAAAAATTAGAGTCCCATTTTCTCTCTCTGCTTGCTTTTAAAACATACATTGCCTTAACATTTCAAATTGTACTGCTTTATTCTTTCTAAATGTTATCAGCCATGGCTTTTAGTTCTAATGAAGGCTATTTTTCAAGCATTTACCAGATGCCTACTGAAAAAAAGAGGCATAGAAAGAAGCAACTCACCCTTTGGTTCGTATGAATTTAAACCTCTAGTGATCCAGTCCTGTTAATTAACTTTGATTAACTTGATATGTGGAATTCTGGTGCTAAAGCCTTCTTTGGTTACTGGGACTCTGATTTCCATGTGGTCTGGGTCAAGAAACTTCTAAAGAAGTTTAAATTATTTGTGGATTCCCTAGCTTTTCACATAGGTATGTAGTTCTCATTAACAAAACGTGTGAATCAGATTTGTGTGTGGTCTGAAAATTTCTCTCACATTGTCTGATTAGTGAAGAAAGTGATTTCTATAAAAGTCAAATACGTTCTGGAAAAATCGGACAGGGTTTGCGGGCAGATTTTCACCATGCAAAAGTACAGGAATTCATTTCTACTCCAAAGGTATGGTGGTTGTTGCAGGAACAAAAGAGCTTCCTGTTGTCCTTTCTTGCTGTACCTTGACTTACGACTTTTGAGGAACCAATAAATCCTGGTATGGGGATTATGTGAATGATTTTACTAACTTGAACCATAAAGCTTTTCTGGGTTACTCCCCAGGGAAATTTATGTCCCTTTAGGTTAGCAATACGTCATAAACCTTCTAAGAATCTCAATGTGAGTCTCAAGGTGAATATAATAATGGTGTTTTGTTTTAGCTGAGGCTTATAAAAGCTCCTTGTATATTAAGAAACTTCTGAATAAGTCTTCTGTGATTTTATTTTATTTTTTTTAGAAGACAGAGATTTGTTTGGATTAGCAGCATATCATGTTGGTTTTTAGGCTGAATTTTTTTATGACTTTAGAAGTAGGTTATACTTTGCTTTTGATTAAAAATGTTTCTTTGAAATAGTGTTAAAAGAAATGGCCCTATGATGTAACATGTTTCCTCTTTTTTGTAAGTTAGCATAAGCTTCATGGTTGCTTGAAAAATTTTAAAGTTTGTAACTGCAATGAAATGAAGGTGGTGCACTGAGGTGTTTCGTGGACATTTGTTCTTTTTACCTAATCTGTTCGAAGGTTGTGTTGTGATAAGGACAGATCAGGCCAATGTATCTCCCTTTCCTTGGATATTTTTAGTGGATTTATTACTGCATATTAAAAAAAAAAAAAACAAACATCTTTTTAGAACAACTTTATCTCAAAATGCTATTTTAATGATTCTATTTTGAATGATAAAATGATTATTGCTCAAATTTGCAGTTTTTCTTGATTTGACCATCCTAATCAGTTTCATACAAAAAAATGAACTAAAAGAAAGAATAAGGTTTTGTCTCTTATTTCACTTGCTTTGCGTTCTTTGATGATGGAATGGTGTTATATCTTTGGATGTGATTGGAAAATTGGTTATAATTTTAGCAGCGAGGCATCTTCTAATTCATAGCCTACCTTTATCAATGGCCAGTTTATATTCACTTGTTCTCTGGGTGATACGTTGTTTAATGTAAGCAACCCATCTCCCTTCCTGGAATTTTCTTTGAATTATATTTATAGATACCAATCCTCCCTTTTGCAAGACTAATTAAGGCAACCTCATCTATTCCGCTCTCATTCTAATAGTTCATCTCTGTACCTTTTCCACAAGGAGTTCATCTCTCTTGAACATGGATGATTAGAAAAGCCTGTGGGATATTCTAGGTGAGATTTCACCAGTGCCTGGCTAAATAACCTTAACCCTACTTTATCAGGAACACCTCACTTGGTATGTAGTAAAATGACATTTGTACTTCATCCATGAGAAAGTTATTAATGGCTCATAGACTTTCTCTGATGACGCAGTGCTCCTACTCATTCTTCTCAATCATTATCAACTAATGAGCTTCCATTTTATAGAAGTTCATATTGCTAATCCCAGTGCACAATATCTTTAAGTTACTGTTGAACTTTGATGCATTTTTTCCAGTAGCCAAGATCATCCAGTTCATTCTGCATGTTTTTTGGCTGCTTCTGTGAATTGATAGTGTCTAAATTTATGCAATTATTACACCTTAAATTTGTGACAGTGTCATAAAATGCACTCATTCTGATCCTTAAGAAGTCTCCCAGCACCTCTCAACATTGTTGATTGCTGCTTCTTCAGTGCCCAAATCCCATTCTGTTATAATGGCTTATTTACTAATTTTTACAAATTTTACTAATTTTTACAAATTTTACTAATAATTTGTGACACTATAGCAAGAACATTACTGAATCCCAGATACTGAGAATACCTACGTGTCCAGATCTTTCTCTCCTCCCTCTGATCTTTAATGTCAGCACTATGGTTGCTTTTCTTTGGTAATATCTAACCAGCTTTGTTTAAAATGCTTGCTACTGGGCCTGCAATTTCACTTGCTGTGTCTGTCAGAATTTTGGAATGGAGTCATACCCCCAGCTTCAGTTTATTAAATTAATGAGTTTAGCTTCTATCTCAGCTGTAATTTGTTTTTCTGTTTACATGTTTTTGTAGATGCCTTTTTTCTTTTTTTCTTTCACTTGACCAGTCTCCTGGAAATGGTCGTGGTAAAGCTGGACATGAAGTGCATGATTCTGTTTGACAAAGGTGACCAGAATATTGCAGCATGTAACGTGTCCAGCTGTTTAGTGTCTGACAGATTTAATTATCTGAAGTTATCATAGTGACTTGCCTAAGCATTTCAAGAGAAACTTTATGTGGTAGAATTCTCTGGAAGATTGCCCAGATGGTGATGAAAAAGGTCAAATTACAAATGAAAAGTAGAATCCCCTATTACTGGAATGACTTTCTTTTTTGTGTTTTTTTTTCAAAATTCATTTGACCTTATTTTTACACTGTCTATTATACTTACAAATTGAAATCTGGGAAACAAAAAAAAAAAGTCCTATTTCCTTATTTCTGGTTTATTTATTTATAGAGCTCTTTCTGTATTTGGCTTTTAAGCTGTTAAAGACGTAGAGTTTCACATGACTGATTTGGTCAATCGAGGACTTAATCTGATCTAATGATAGAAAGAGTGGGATCTCTTTGAGCATGAGCAGTGTTATGTAAATACCTTCAACAAAAATTGGATTTATGTTTAAAAAAAAGATAGGTGAAATCCATATCAATGAATTGCTTATTAAAAAAAAAAAAAAAGCAGATCATATGCATAGTAATGTCTTTAAATTCAGACAGAAGTGTATTTTTTTGTTGGAATGATGCAATATTCAAGATGCTGAAGAAGTGTGAAAGAGATCAAAACTGCATATATACATTCCAGTATTCAAAATTCAGACAGCTCAACTAAATTTTAGAATGGGAAATAGAAGGAGAAACTGTAATACTACTTTTGACTTTTATTTCAAAGATGTTGCTGTACCTCTGTTCTCAAATTTAGCTAGTTATCCATCACATATGGTTTTTATTACACAAGAAGGAACAGCTATTCGTATTTCTGCGCAAGTCATGTAAAGCTATGCAATATGCAATTTTACTGTGACAATGTTCTAAATGCTACATGAACCAGTCAGATATAAATGCAAAATATTCTACTATGCATATGATCAGCACCATTGTGTAAATTTATGTGGAGAAATAGTCATTTTTCCCTGAAAAACATATATGCCAATCTTTAGACTGATCACTATTTAAATGAAAAAATGCGGATGGTGGTGGTGATAGAAAGATGTATCTGCAGGTTGACTCCTCACCAACCCTCTTACATAAATTGTATCAAGTAAATCTATTTGTTAGCAAGGTAATATGTATGTAAAATACAGTATTATTGGTACAAATTTGATGTTTGTGTTCAGAGCTGCAGTTCTTAATAGCTTGATAATATCCAACTAGAGATTGGAATAAAATACTAGTTATATTACACTACATATAAATAATGTAAATATACTGTGTCAGATATAAATAGTGTATTACACAAATATCAGGATTCATACACACTAAAATCAGCACAAGTCTTCCAGTTTAATGTGTACTTTATAACTTGCTGTAAGTACTCATTATTGAAAAAAAAATGTAACTTGCTTATAGAGGCAGTGCCTGGAAACCATTTAATGAAAGTAGAATAGCAACAGTAATAACTGAAAGTCATGAGTCTTTTCACTGAACAGAAGAATGCAAAGGAAAAAGAGGTAATCTTAAACTACCTACATAATATCAGATAAAAATTGAAATGGAATTTAAACTAACTTTTAGATGAAGCAAGGTGTATGGTGGTGTGTGCTAGCCTTGGATAAATAACTTTATAATGGCAGACAATTTAGAATCGTAGAATTAGGAGACTGCTCCATTTTGGAAGTCCTTGTCCACACTTTCTATTCTTCTGACATAATCTTCAAGAGGCTGTAAGTGAATTATTTCTTCCATTTCACATCCATAGAACTGGCTGCCTAATCATCATAGGCTCTTTTCAAATAGGCTCGCTTCTACAGGAAATACTTACCCCCTAGCTTGCTCTTTTTGTGGCTTGTGGCATCAGCTGGGAAGATGGAAGGGAAAAAAATGGAAATTTCAGGGCCACAGGCAACAAGAAGTCACTTAACCTCTCTGCCTTTTTTATTGCTATGGTAAAATAGTTTCCAATTGTGTTTTATTCTTCAGTCGTAACAGCTATTGTGAATGGTTTTATTTGGTGTCTCTTTGCAGTTATTAATGATGTGATGTAAAATGTGGATTTAAGTGCCAGTTTAATGAGCTGCTATCAAATTATCCTTTTGTGAGTTTTCAGCAACTGAGTAGGTATATTTGCAGTTAAGTAACTAAGAAACAGTAGTTGGAAACTGATTTTAGCTCAGTAATTTTACAGTTTACTAGCAAAGTGTCTATCTGTATCCACGTGTACTTTAAGCTACCTTACATTACATGCTTCTCACAACTCACAGCAGTTCAGTTTCTGCTAGGTTTCTCCAGACACTTTCCCCATGATTGAGTACAGGTGTTCCTAATGCAGCTGCAGTAGCTGGAGCACTGAATTCTCATCAGCCATCTCTTGCGGGACAAAGTTATGATTGAGAGAGAATTAATTGCAACTCTTAATTTCCTATTTTCCAAAAGGTTTGGGCTTTTTTTTTTGGTGTTGTGTGTGTGCTGAACTCACACATGGGAGAGTATGAGATACTGCCTGGCACCTGTAACAACGATGTATTTGTGATTTAGTTAAGAATAGCAGTTAATAGTCTAATAATAATATCCAATTGCAGATATTTTGATACGTTGGTATAACATTACTTCTTAAAACAAGTCCCTAGTTATTGCTGTATTTAGAGTTATAGTGAAAATGATTTTATATATTCAAAACTCCTAGTATTGTGTGTTAGCAATAGTAAGCCTTAAACCTATGTCTTTTGTACATCTGTTCCAGGGTCTAATTCTTGGCTCGTACCAGAAACAAAAGGAGCAATTGTGCAAGGTGGATATGGCCATACCAGTGTCTATGATGAACTGACAAAATCTGTTTATGTCCATGGTGGATACAAAGCATTACCTGGTAATAAATACGGATTGGTGGATGATCTTTACAGATATGAAGTTAATACTCGGACATGGTAAGTGGGATTTATAATGTGGGAAACTAAGTTGTTTGTTACTGAAAAAGAAAACATAAGCATAGATTAAGGTAAAGTAAGGTTCTAGTAAAGTCACATAGGTGTCTCCATATCCTTTGCATGTTGTGGAATAGTACATTCTCTGCAACAAAATGGAAGAATTGTGGTGAGGGATTAGACTTTAGCCAGCAGATTAATGGAGCTACGCATCCTACGAAGGAATGGCAGGGATGAAGCTTTGCACATGTTCTAAAAATTAAGAAAAGGTTCTCCTATCCAGACATAACCACCATGCAGAAATAGTACCCGCGTACTGTTTCCACATGGTACGAACATACTGGTGATGCACATTCAAGTACCTGTTGTATAAATAAGTGGAGAAATCTAAGAACTGTGGAAGGTTATTTTTCACAAAACTGTCAGAAATAAGAGAGAAAATTCCTGGTATTATATAGGGATCCTTAGTTATTAATGTTCTTGGTGTTTCTATTTCTGTCAGTTCCTTGTCCCTCAAGTTTATTGTACCTTATGAAAGCTACTTATGTGTTATGTATAGAAAGTGACCTTAAATGTTTTTTCTTACCTCAGAGATGATTTGAGATCAAGAACTATTTCTTGGAACATTTTATTCTTGCAATTTAATATTTGTGTTGGGCACTAATGGCTTAACTTTAAGCACACAAGACTTGCTCTCAGATGTTGGAAACATGGGTTTTTTTCACTGAGGCTCTTAATTTTGAATGCCACTAACTCATGGCACTTGGAAACATCATTACAAGAAATTTTTGTCCCTTTTAATGGATTTTTAAATTGCTGGAATTTTAGTGCTCTCTTATTATACTCTATTCTTGGAACAAAGTGATATTGTATCCTTTGAAGGTCTGTTCAACAATTTAATAATAATTATTGAAACATTTTTATTCATTATTCATATAAAAACTAATAACAAACGCTTCTATCTACCCTAATGTGGTATTCTCTGCAGCTTGTAGAGAACTTAACTCTTACTCGTTTCATGAGTATTACACTGGAAGTCAATTGTACTATGGGACTAAAAACTGGCTGAGAGGATGGGGTAATGACGCTTACGTAGTAATAAAATCTTTGTTTACTGTATCTGTGACGTGTTATAATCAGTATTAAAAGCACTCAGTGAGGCAACTGAATGTGCCGCTGGCTTGATGGGTTATGAGGAAGAGGTGGAATCATGATGGCTTTCTCATGCCCATGTACATGACTTTTTTCACACTTGCATTTGCTTGTCCTCACTGTCTCCGTTTCTCTCTTGCACTCACTCTCTGTTTCTCTGTCTGATCTGGCTGAGGTTCATGTGCTTCACTCAGTCATAGAATCCTGGAATGGTTTGCGTTGCAAGGGACCTTGAAGATTACCTAGTTCCAACCCCTCTGCCATGGGCAGGGACACCTTCCACTAGACAAGATTGCTCAAAGCCCCATCCAACCTGGCCTTGAACAATTCCAGGGATCGGGCATCCACAACTTGTCTGGGCAACCTGTTCCAGTGCCTCACCACCCTCATAGTGAAGAATTTCTTCCTTGCATCTAATCTAAATCTACCCTCTTTCAGTTTAAAGCCATTACCCCTTGTCCTATCACTACATGCCCTTGTAAAAAGCCCCTCTCCAGTTTTCTTGTAGGCCCCCTTCTTGGTGTACAAAGTTTTGGTATACAAAGCTGATTACTTGTTTTATTCAGTGACATGTGGGTTTTCATTTCTTCGTGTCAATTAGGCATAAGCTTTATGTTTCTTGGAATGTGAGGGGACGATATTTTAATTCCTAGGGTAAACGTTATTTCTAATATACAATGGAGAATTACAGTGTTTGTAATACCTGCATTGCTTTGCATTACTTTCATACTGCTGCAGTTGGCAGTTGGGGGCAATGTGGTGCTGGGCTTAGATAATGGCCTGAAACAGTGGAAGCACCTGCTGGCTCCTGGGTATTTCTATTACCATTATAATACCATGCTGCTGTATGCAACACTTGGCATTGGTATAGTTAACATGGACTAATGTTTGCAGATACACATGTATGTGCATAAATAATGAATTCAGTGTAAAGTATGCCGAGCCTCTCACATAATTTGCATGGGGTTGATATGTGTTGGAGAGTTCTGAAGATTGCTCTCATCAGTGATGCTAATGAATAGTGAAAATCATGGCCAAATTAACAAACTTGGTCTGTATTACACTTCCACTTCTGCTGAATCTTGGGGAAAAGTTATCAGTTATCCCTACTGTTATCAGGAGGGATAAAACTCAGCACACAATATGCAAAAATTAGGGAAAAAAAACCCCAACCTGTATGACCAGGGCTGGGGCAATGCAGTTGGGTGACAAGTAGAAAAGTGAGTAGCCCAAAGAAAAACTGTGGGGACTGCTGTTATATCCACTGTGGAGAAAAGAGAGTCCTTAGTTTTCCCCGGAACAGTGTATGGCTCTTCAGGCCTTTAGTGAGCAAGACAACTATTTGTAGACAGCTGCGAGGCAGGATAATCAAGACAGAGCCTAGTGTATAACAATTCTGTAAACTAGGAGGTAGGAGCTGTAGAAAACCGGTAAAGCAAAAGACAGAAAGAAATCTATAGTCCGAATGGATAAGGACAACTTGTTCTTAGTATATCATCATTTTTTCAACTTATAGCAGCAGTATTCCTCCATCACTAGTTGAAAATAACTGTTAAAAATAATGTCTTGTTCTATTTTCTTGTCATTACTAATTTTATATGTTGTTAACTGATGAGTTGAAACCAAATATCACGTGCAATGAGTATTTTGTATCAAGCTAATTCCTGGTTAGAAAAACACACTTATGTGGTGCTCTATTTTCAAAGTATATTAATCAGAAATACACAACAAAAATGGAAGTCACTTAACAGAACAAAAAAAAGGATTAAAAACAATAGCACATTGGTGGGTATGCTGGTGGCTTGAAGGACTCATTGCATTTTTAACAAAGAAAAAAAAAATCTCATTTACTCTCACTTACTCTTTGGTATTTCCTTTGATGTTACTTTCTAGGGGTAGGGGGACTATTTAAATGACAATATGAGAACTTAAGTTTAATGCCTTCCTCTCAGCTTGTTTAAACATACAATCTCTTATCACTTAAAAAATATCTTGAGTTTATGATTGATTTACATCATTATGTCAAAACAATGAAACATACTTTAAACCCTCTCCCCCAAACCCTATGGTGATGTAAAAATATTGAACAAATGTTATCAGTGTGATTAGAGAGAAGAGAGACAGTATTATTCAATTAGAAGGAAACATTGTCAAGTCAGTATGTTTGTTACAGGAAACGGATGACAAAACAGTTTAATTGCAGGTGTGAGCAGTGTGCAGTAACACAAGTGAAAGTGAGAGTATAAACTTGAAAACTGTTAGATTACTGAGACAAATAAAAGGTTATTAGGGGAATGTAAATAATATTCTGTACTGGTGTTATAATCAGCTCTTCACAAACATTTCTACAGCTGGTCTATTTAACTAATTCAAGCTAGCAAAACCCACAAATGGTTACTCTCTCCCTTGGTAAAATTTATTTGCTGTGATTGAATCAAGTCATCAAGTCTGTATTCTGTATAGTAGCCCCACACCTGCCACTTTAAAACTGTAGTATTGATAGCTCTTGACTACTGTTGGGCCCATGTTATTGTTCTGGCACAAAGCAAACCACACAGACACAGGCTAAAATGAATGAAGAGAGATCAAAGACTCAATGTGTATGGACTATTTTTTTTTTTTTTTTTGGTACTGAAATTCTGTATGTTTGAATTTGCCAGCCTAAATATATTTATGAAGCAGTGCAAGTGTTTTTCATCATACCTAGAGTGACTTCTACTGTTTCTTTTCCAGGTCTGAGTGTTCAATTAATTAAAAAAAAAAAAATTCTCCTTTTCCAATACTTAGGATGGTCTAAAGATTCTTTTAGCCTTCTAAAGAATTCTTATTGCATCTCTTGAGCAAAAAAACCAACTTGGCTAAGGATATATAAGAATAGGAATTAATAATATGAATGGGTTTTCATTCAATTTTGAGTAAAATTTACCATATTAATCACTTCTGAAGAATGTAAACATGATATAATTTATTTCCGATAAGTTATTTGACAAACTGGCTTTTTAAGTAGAAAAAAAAGCATGACATTTTAAATGAATGCTAAATATATTTGTTGTAACATGAGAAAATTCATAATCTTAGAAACAGTCAGAATGCATTTCATCATATTTACTAATAGTTTCAGTTTAGTGTTTTCCTTGTATTTTGTATTGTTGATCTATAAATTTTCTTGATGTTTATATATAGTTTTTCACATGTTAGTATGTATTAATTTATTCTTATATTTTGCAGGACTATTTTGAAAGAGAGTGGCTTTGCAAGGTATCTTCATTCAGCTGTCTTAATCAATGGAGCTATGCTTATTTTTGGTGGAAACACTCATAATGATACTTCCCTGAGTAATGGTGCAAAGTGCTTTTCTGCTGACTTTCTTGCATATGATATAGGTATGTATTGTATTTTTTCTCATCTGAGTTTTAAATATCACAGTGTTGCTTTCTCAAGTCAGCTAATGTGATCCCTTGATCCCAAACAATCCCCTCAAGTTATTTAAAATTTATATTATAAAATTAAAAACAGGCTTTTGTTCCATAAAGTGTAGTAGCTAAAATTATCAATTTATAAAAATGTGCCTAATACTGTCTTATAATATGAATAGCGGATATGTTACTAAATGAATTGCAAGAACTGGTGCATTTTGATGTTATGAAAGTGTGTTGACCAGAGACCCTAATGGTTATTGCCTCCAAGTGTTGATTGGTTTTTTTCATACTGAATGTCTACATAGTACTAATAAAACATGATGCTGGAATTTAAAAAAAAAAACAAAACCAAAAAACAAACACCGCCATCCCCCAACAAACAAAAAAACCCCCCAAACAAACAAAAAAACCCCAAACCAACAAACGAACCACACAAAACCCCCCAAAACCGAAACCAAAACATTTCCCCACAAGTAACATTTGAGAGGTTGCTAAAAAGGTTTTGAATTGGTGGCAGTATGGAAAATGCATTGCTCAGTGCTTATATCACGGCACCACAATGGCCCTGAACTGAAAATCAGGGACTGGAGAAGCCAAGGTAGGCAGCAGTCTGAAAAGTGAGGCAGGGGTAGTCAGGTTGTGATGCTCCAGAAACTAAGAAAGGTTCAGCTGCCACAAGCTGAAGAGCAATCTGGAAACATAGGAAGTCCACACCACAAGAAGCAGAGTGTAGAGAAACAGCCTCTTGGGAGACTGATTGTGGTAGATAGCTGGTTGTAGCTGAATAGACACAGATTGGGGCTGATAGCTGAGATGCATGGATTTTGCTGGATATTTTCCTCTGACAAATTGCTCTCCCTTCCTCCTGCCTCTTCCTATGCATTCCAGATTAGAGTATTAATTAAAAGATTCCTGCCTTTGAGACTGAAATACATTACTTGATCAGGATAACTGCCTTGGTGTATGTCTGTTTCACATGGAGCAATACCCCACCTATGGTCTAGCATGAGTAGTCTTGCCGAGTAGGAAGAAAATTCTGGGCGATACTCTCCCATATAGACTAATGGGATAACTACTTTAAATGAATCAGGGCAATAATAGAATATGGAATACTTTTGCATCATTATGTTAAGGATAAACTATGTTTCTGTGGACAACAGCACGATGGAAATGGCTAAGCTATTTGTGCTTAGTTTCATGGGACAGAAGGTAGTTTTAAGAGGGTGGTGCTAAAAAAAAGTTTACTTCTGAAGCACCAAAGACTGCTAGTATGCAGTACAAATGTCAAAATACAGAATTCATTGCCAGTTACCTGAGTTCAAAAGTACAAGTGAATAGTAACAAAAGAACCCCACAAAACTTTGCTGACAGCCAACTGGGAGGAGGCTGGGCTGTCATTCAGGGAGAATGAGATGATTGGAAATGACAGTGGACATGAGATAATGTTTAATGGAACAAGGTGCAAGTCATACACTTAGGAAACGACAAGAATTTTCACCTACAAACTGAAGGCACATTGCTGAAAATGACAGTGTCTTGTGTGTCCGAGCCAGGAGAGTGGCATGTGGTTGTGGAAGTTGCCTATGCAGTCCTAATGAAAAGAAGAAAGAAACATCGAAGCCATTCTCAAGGCCCTGGATATTTTTGTACAATTTTGGCAACACACATTTAAGAAAGACAAACTCTAAGAGGGCTCTGCATGGCAAGTGGTATTAAGGCCGACTGAAGCATGAGGAGCCTTTAGGAGATAATAAAAGGATGTGGTGTATTTAATTTTGCAAGAGAGTGCCTGAGAGCAGAAAAGATTGTTGTTTATAAATATGTGATAAGAATACACTTTGGAGGAAAGCTGTTTAAGGTAAAAGAGAGTCTTGAGACAAAACTAGATGGGTGTAAGCTTTCAGTCTGTAGAATGGTTCCAGCCATTAAAGCTGTGCAGTTATGGAAAAGCCTCCCTATAGGATTGTGGAGGTCGTAAATCTAAGGGAATTTAATGAGTCCATAATCTGTTTCCTGTCTTGTTTATTGCCACTGTTGTTCTTACCGTAAATAGTTTTTCCTTTCCCTAATATTCATGTCCATATTTTATGCAGAAGCTGCAAGTATAAACATACAGGTCATATTTGGGCCAAAAACCACAGCCACTTGTCCTGGGAACTAAAAATTGGGAAATATGTCAGAGCAGTCTGGGAAATGGACTCGTGCATGATCCTGTTGAGAATAGCTTGTGGATAGCGCCTGGATCTATTTTTGACAAACGTTTACTATCCAAATACAGTTGTAGAAGAGGGTGAGACAAGATCCTTTTCATAAGACTAGTTGATGGATCTTTATGGCTTTGTGTATCAATACCAACCACTCTGCATTTGCTCTCATAAGAAAATAATTGGTAAATTAGGTACCTGGAACGTATATGTGCTATTTCCTGCCAGTTTCACCGAGCGTGTGAATATTGCCTTTTCAGAACAGTTGAATTTTTTTTACTGTATCCCTGTATTACATATTCTGTAGCTTCTTGTAAGCATCTGATGGTGTGAGCTATTGACTTTGTTCTAATTTCAGTTTATATCTGGTTTTAATTTTTAATGAAACAGAGCTCCCTCCTTATTTTAGAGGATGATATTAGTCTAAATTTATTTGTAGAATCTGCACTTGAGAATCAATAGCATGAGTCCCAGGATCTGAATAAGTGTAGCTTTCTGACTTTCACACCAGGAGTTTTTTATCCTACTTCATGAATTTTTTTTTTTTTGGTGAAACAACATTTCTGTTTTTCTAGTTGATTACAATATTTAATATGGTATTCATATTTTCTTGCAAGTCACATTCTCCATGTGTTATCAAACTGATGAAGTACAAAAGAAACAGATGTAGTAATTACTCTTTTTTAAAAAAATTAAATCTATGAAGATTGATTTGATACAAACTTAATCTTCTGTATTATTCATTTGGCCAAATTAAAAATACAGTGTCACAGCACACATGATTATGGAATTGGGTATATTTCAGAATTTTATTTACCTTGTATCATGAGTTTTTGAACAATGCTTGGAAGACAAAATATATGATGCTATCAGTATTGCATTTCCTAGATACCTTGCAAGTGATGGAGTGTTATGCTCTGTCTTCGAAAAAATGGGTTCTGTCTGGAAACCAGCTGAATCCTAGAGATAGAGCCTATACTATTTATGTTCAAGTTGGGCTACAGAGTACTTTTGATGATATCTCTTATTGTATGTGACATAGTCTTATGGATGGGTTGCTTCAGCTTTTTATTATCCATGAAAATGCTTACTGTTTTTCATATTAATGTGAAATAACTATTTGGGGGGATTCATCTCAGTTAAGTTTAGCTGTCTAAAAGGTTGGTTTGTAATACAATCTGGTAATCCAGACACATCCTCTAGTCAATGGAGGGAGATAAGTATTTCCAGAGAACAATTAATTTTACCAAGCTTAGGACAGAGATGCTTTTTTTCTTCTTTTCTGGAATCAGCCATTGCTCTCTAGGTACTGAACTTAGTGTACATGCATAAGTTTTAGACAGTTAAATGTAAGTGTCATGAGCCAAGAGCTCAATTCAGTCATTTTAAATGCTTACTGCATCTGAATATTAGTTAAAGCTGAAGACTCAGAGATCTGGAAATGCTATAAAAACTATTATGATACCCTAATTTTCATAATTTAGTATTGTTTGGTGTATTTACTTAAATAGCAGTAAACATACTTGTATGATTAGAAGGCTGCTGCATAAAATGAGCTTTAGAAACCTGGCCTTTGGTATGCTTTTGTCCTCCTCTGATATTTTACCACCAGACTTGCCGCCAAGTTGCTCTAGCAGCTCCTTAAAGAACCACAAATGGTTATCCTCATAGAGATGAGGTATTTTTCTGACTGTGCTGTATTGTTTACGTTATGCTGAAAGAAGAACCTTGGCAAAGGGGACAGGGTTGCCACTGGGCTCAGCCTTTAATGCTCTGGTTGACATGCGGTTTTCTAACTGATGTTGGTTATGGCTTTTCTTTATCTGCTGTTCACTGGAGTGCTGTAGTTACCTGTTCAGTACATAAAAAGAAGCTGAAGGGCTTCAACTGGTGAGATCCAGATGTAACTGTCAGTAACTGTCAATTCTTCCATTATGGCATTTTGAAAGATACTTAATAACACTTAATACAAACTGAGATGTATGTGTATGAATGTGTGAAGTATGGCTGCATACTTGTAATTAATGAATAGGGATTTATCTTTCAAAATAAAATATTATCTTGTTCTTCAGTCTTTGCTGTGTAACTGAGAAACTATATGTTAGGAGCTGAGTTCTCCCAATTCCTGCTTTGTAATATATAAAAAGTGCATACTTTTGGGAGACTGAGACATGGTAGAAAGAAAGTAGATAATCACTGCTGACTTTAAATTCTACAAAGTGCTTAGACTCACAGAGATTAGTTTAAATAAATGTGTAGTAGAATTATAGAGGAAATGTGACATGCGTCAGTATTGACGTTTTGCTTATGTTTTCTTCTTGGTACAGAGTTTGACATTAGTTCAGTCTGCTTTTTTTTCTTCAGGAACAAAATCACACAAGTCAGTTACTGTTGGCTTCAAATTCACCACTGTGTTTTCTGCCTACATAGAGTGGTTCAGTCAGGCTAGTGTGCTGGGGAGTTTTTTCTGAATACTTGATTAATTTGATTATATACATCATATAAGGAATAGAATACACTTCAGAGAGAAGCCCTGGTGATCTGTGTACTGTACAAAGTTCTAGTCCAACTCCTGCTCCAAACAAAATATAATTGTTTTGCAGAAGTTAGTCTAATGAGTACACATCTCAATAACTGGGCTTAATTCTGTGAAAGGATGAGAGTAGTAAAATAAATAACATTTCAGGCAAAGTAGTTCTTAATTTTTTAAACATTTATAAACAAAATGAAGACATCTCATTCTTTGACCATGACTAAGGA